ATTATGGATGTCATGTATTTTTTTTAAAAGTTGCTTCATGTCGGCTTTTCTCCTGCATACCGCTTTGCTATTTTATCTGGGTAACTGTAGTTTATGGTTAGGAAAAAAATGATTATCATACCAAATCGTCTTATTTTTTATTATTAATTACTTTAAATAGCTTAATAACAATATATTTCAACTTCAAATGTTTTTACCTTTTACCGTAGTCTATTGCATTAAACAAAGCTTTTCTTATTTTCAACTCTTTGGGGGGTCCGTAGGAGGCCTGTTGCAAGGCAAAATTTCTGTCCCTATTCAATATACCCTCATTTTCCAGTGGCACTCCAAATTTCCCCGACCAACATCCCGGATGGCCTCTATAACAAGACCTAACTATTGTATGTATTGTTAACTTGTTCTCGTCCTGAACATGCATAAAATATTTGCCGCTGGACGTTAAGCAACCCCACATCAAGCAATCGTATTTTCTGTGGTGTTGTCTGTTTCCGTGTGTCTGATTTTAGATGCAGACAACAGACTTAAAACAATGATCAATTTAAACGTTTTGAAATTTTATGTATGTAATATAAACTTTTCAAACATGAATTTATTTAATAACAACCTTCATGTAATTTTTGTCTGTTTAGCCAATATATTTTTTGTAATCCAAAGAATAATAAATATCTTTCTATGAAAATATAAAAAAAAACAACTGTGGGGGTATTCTATTAAAATGAATATAGTATTCCTCATATAAAAAGTCTTCTACATTCATACTTTTGACCAAAGTAATATCTTTGCAATTAAAATCAGAAAATTAAAATTTGTTAAAACATGTTTAAGAAACAAAGCTTACTTTGAATAACTGACAGCCTAGTTAGTGAAAATCCTGTCTTATTCCCCTGCCTTTTTCAGCTGAATGTGAGGGCAAGTTCGTGAGACCGGAGATATTTCATTATTCTGCGTGTGCAGTCAGCAACATTGTCTCCTCCAATGGTGCCAAGATGTGTAGTCTGAAAGAGAATGATTGGATAATAATTAAACCAATTACATAATGGCCTATTTTTTTCACATTTTTGATGTCGGGGAAAATTTCATAATCAAATATACCGTATGGATTTTTCTCGTTGTTAAAGGCAAAAATGTTGCCTATGTAATTGATTGCTCACATCCACTTCATTTGGCGTATATTTGTCTCATAATTGCCAATCATACTACATCTCCTTATTCTTATATTACTTATTATTTACCAATTATACTGTATGCGCGGTTGTCATATTAAAGAATACATAGTTTTTACCGAGTCAGTACTTTTACTGAGTCCACAGACAAGGGACTATTCATTAGTTTGTGCTTTGATAGGGTTTCCTTAAACGCATCACAATATGATGTCGGATAGCTGCTGTTGACGCGGTTTTCTGAGGGTGGGTGTATCTAGAAATCTCTTTTTATGTAGTTTCCACCACTTGTCAGATGGGATCTTTTAAATACGATCCCTCTTTTCTGAGCGAACTGTCCAGCATACCCGAGGTTGTTTTTTTTTTGCCAAACCCAATACCTAGAGATGCACGTAACAGCATAGTCGACATGTTTGCCCTCGTCGTCTTTGTCAAACATGGGTTTCTTTCGGTCCATAGCATCAATATCAACCCTGTCTGAAACTCTGTCAGCCAGTGTTGATTTAGGTATATTATACATGCTTTTCTTATGGACATGTTATTATCTTGTACTTCCCTTAGGGCATCCCGCAATGCATCTTTGGTTCAAACGTTCTTTTCTACTACTCGGCATTACAGCAAAAAAAGTTATAAAAAAACAAGATAATTCAGATTCAATATATTTTAATTTTGAATTTGATCATGATTTGAACTATTCTTAACATGAACATTCTGCCCTACAAGTAGTTTTTTAAAGGTTCTACGTTGCAGTCGTTACACAGACAACCGACATTCATTTTCTGTTGAGGTCGAGTATGGTATTAATATACCACCGCTGCAGACTTGGCCTTTAAACAGCAATTACTTTCTATCCCTATCCAATATACCCTCTTTTTTCAGTGGCAGTTCAAATCTCCCCGACCATCATACCGGATGGCTCCTTTACAAACTGAAACTATCCTTTGGGCCGTTGTTGTTTGCAAAATTCCGTGCCCTATTTAAGTAGAAAGAAAAGTTTTCTTGGTTAAAGTTAAGTAAGGAAGAATTAAGCGGTCAAGAAATATCACCCTCTACTCGCATTGATCGACATGGTCTCCATCGGTGAAACAACCTTATGGACTGTTTGAATTTAGAAAGGCCAATCATTGTTGTAGCTGATGACAGGGCTATGCTATCTCCAAAATCTGAATTGTGCAACTTTAATAACATAATCAGTAAGCATATCAAATAAATATAAACAGCTGTAAAGAACTCAATTGCATTTTCATCGTCAACCCCATGTTGTTCGTCGAACTAGTGACATCATTCTTTTCCTAATATCATGAAATGTTAATCAATCAATCAATCAAACTGGTCTGTTGTCACAGAATAAACGACTTTATTACAAATGGGGCTTTTTTCTGCCTCTCTGACAAGTGGTCTCCCAAAGAAAATTTTATGAATGGGTCCCTTCTGTTTACCGGGGATATATCTTCGAGTAATGGATTTAATTCCTGCCAACACGGATACAGTTCAGATATTTTATGTACTATATTTTTAGAACGATGATGCATGCAGTGTTCTATTCAATTTAAATACTGTTTTACTTCTATAAATATATATATATAAAAAGAATGTGTCAAAGAGGGCAGTCTTGATGAGCAAACTACATATTATTTAGTACAATATTATTGTGTCATGAAAAGCTTCTTCAATTTTTTGCTGCGATTCCTTCCTAATAATGACGGTCATTGGAACATGAGGAAGGCGTCCCAGTTAATCATTAACAAAGCCTTTCAAGAAATTAAAATATTATTTGGACTATGTATTAAAAATTGTTCTATTTAGCCAGCAATATAAGTACATAAACTTGCAAATTGGTTATATTTCTGACTTGGTAATGATTCAAAAAATACTGGTTCACAAATAATAAGATAATTTATTCAAGGTGCACAGGCTTTTTCCAAAGAAAGACGCACTGCCCAGGATATTTCCTAATAATTACCTAGATACTCCGCCGTCTGCAGTCATTTTTAATGTTGCTGTCACCTTTTAACTTCCTTAGATTAAGTTGCATCCGATTTCAAAAATTATTCGTTACAAAGAGTAGTGAACCTGTGTGTATCGTAAATCCATCTTTGTGGAGTGCAGACTTGATTTTTTACCGGTTTTGCATTTAATACGATGAGTACTGGGAAGTGATCAGAACCTAGTTTATCCTCTAAAATTGACCATTGACTGTCATTGGTTAGCGAGGCGGAGACTAACGTTAGGTCTATTTGTGTTCGGTTGTCCGTTACAGTTTGAAATGTTCCTGTACCGTCATTTAAAATTATCATGTTATTTTGGTCTATGACCTTTTCAATAATGATACCATTGCTATATGTTGTGGTAGACCCCCAAATCGAGGATCTACTATTAAAATCTCCAAGTAGCACTGTATTATATGACACATTCTACAGAACTTCTTGATAGTCATTAAATTTATTTTTTTTTGGGGGGGGGGGTCTTTACACATTAACTATATTTATCTTATTATTTTGACAGTTTACCTCTATGTTATCAGTATTAAAATTAAGTAGGGCTCCGTGTAAAAATCATGCAATGAGTGATACATGGGGGTCAACAGATTATCACCAAATTTGGTATGTTATCTTGCCTTCAATCAAGATTGATGAAAAAATATTCATTTTTGTTGCTAGGACACTTTGGTTGCCATGGCAACCAAGTGTCAGATTGTGGGTTCTGGTTTAGACAAATATACACAAATTACAGTATCTTAAACATTCTTTTAGAAACAATACATAAAAAAACAGACAAATTGCAGTGATATATTAATTTATTTTCAGATATAATCTAAACACAATAACAAAAAATAAAGAGATATTTCGAATTTTTTTTCATTGTTACCTCTGTACAAAAAAGGGGTACAACACCATTTTCTTAATATTGGAATTTTCTTCTTTTTGACCAATTTTGAAGTTAAAATTTTTCACAAAACCCCGCAAGTAACATCATAATATGTATATACAAATTAAAGAATACTTACTGGAGTTAAACCAGAAATAAAAAAAAAAATTGTGCAAATTTACAAGATTCAAATAGATGAATGGCTAAAGAAGGGAGGTAATCCATTATTCAGTTTTTCCTTATTTTGACCAATTTAATGATAAAAATTCTACAAAACTCTTCAAGTAAAACTGTAATACTTTTAAGCAAATTAAAGTTTTTTAAATAAATATCTTTCAAAAAGAAACAAAAAATTATGCAAGTTTACTAAAAATCAGTAAATTCATGAAAAAAGGGAGGTAATCCATTTTGTTGCTTTTTTTCAATTTTGACCAATATCAAGGACTAAAATTCTAACAAAACTCTTCGTGTAAAACTATAATTCTTTTAATGTGATTTAAACAAACTTCTAATGTCTAAAATAAGTTGACTGCAAAAACAAAAAAAAAAGCTTTTCATCTATCAATGTTCATTATGACATATCTAGCTTATTTGAACAAATAAACCAGAACTGTAAATTGTGTGAACATCAATATACATAGATAACTAAGAACATAATAGAAAGCATTTAAATTTGTCTACCATTTGTCTCTACTCAAACATTGAATAAAATAACATGTGACATAAATCGTTCTTATTCTAAAGCATATTTGATATCAACAGGGACCCAGGGTATGTGGTACAGCTTCTCAAGAAAAAATGCATACAAATAATATCATTTTAATATGAGGGCACAGTCCTGAAGACTTTATTTTCCAATTACTTTCTAAGGAAACTGATCTAAGGAACCTTAATAACAAGCTTTAAAGTGAATATATGCACCATATTTTAACAGTCATTTGTTGGATTTGCAGAGTTAACTGATTCAATTAATTAAGATTGATTTATTGCAACAGCAGCAGCTACCAAGTCATCATCTTCAGGTACTATTTTGTTGTTGTTACTTGCATTAGCTGATACCAATCGAGAGAAGAAAGCTGTAATTTGAGTACTATTCAAGCATTCATTTAACTGAAAAACCCGTCTGCCCTCAGTATCCCTCATAGATTTCATTTCTGATGCAACATCATCTGGACTGCATATGTTATTACTTTTTTCTCCTTCATTGAATTTCTCAATAAGGAAGTTTTTTATCTTGGTAGGAAATCTATTCACCTTTCTGGCCCTTTTTAATGCCCAACCCATAGGAAGGGTTTCTACAGCTTGTTGATTATCTGTACATTGGCTGGCAACATTTTTCTTCCTTGTAACAATAACATTGTTGCAGAGTTCTGCCCATTGCTTGCGAATGATATCATATACGGATTCTCTTTCTAATCTTAAATCATGTGTACCTAATAGAACATGATTTTCTAGAGTTCTGTAGGAAGCATAATGCTTAAAACAACCTGGTTCTGGGCAATCAAAGGAGAGTGTTGTCTGTAAAGCAGATGAACTGACTGGTCTTATTGTTGTGGTCTCAGTACTCATTTCATTTTCTACAGCATTACTTTCAGCTTTTGTTAACTTGATCTTTCCTTTGACCTTTGATGGCAGAACAAAATCTGTTACAAGAGTACATCCAGTTTCATTTTGACAATGGCCTGATAATTTGGTTAACTCACTATAAGTCATTGACAACCCATCCCCAATACCATAAGCTTTTCTGAATACAACACCAGATTCTGTGTACTGAACATCGTTGTAATGTGTGACATTTTTTAAATTATGAGTCTTGAGAACATGTTTTGACGTTTCAACAATAACATGGGCCACTTGACATCCAGCTACACCTGTAAGAAAGGGAATTGAACTTAATATTATGTAATAAACAGCTGCGCCATGAGCGCATGATACGCCCGTCGTCTTGTGTGTGAATTTTTATGCAATAAGCATAAATAGTTTCTGACATACGGCGTGACATGCGAAAACCCCCTTTTTTTTTACAAAAAACTCAATATCTCTAAAATAAATTTTGAATCAAAACCAAAAAGTATACAGATCTTAAGATTAATATAACTAAGAAGCGTGTAAAATTTTAAGCAATAATCATGAATCGTTTTTGAGATACGGCGCGACATGTGAAAACCCCCCTTTAAAAAAAAAAATCAATATCTCAAAAATAAAATTTTGAATCAAAACCAAAAAGTATACAGATCTTTAGATTAATATAACTAAGAAGTGTGTAAAATTTTAAGCAATAATCATAAATCGTTTTTTGAGATACGGCGCGACATGTGAAAAACCCCTCCCCTTTTTTTTTTTACAAAATACTCAATAACTCAAAAATAAAATTTTGAATCATCACCTAAAAGTATACAGATCTTAAGGTTAATATAACTAAGAAGTGTGTAAAGTTTTAAGCAATAATCAAAAACTGTTTTTGAGATACGGCGCGACATGTGAAAAACCCCTCCCCCATTTTTACCAAATACTCAATATCTCTAAAATAAAATTTTGAATCATCACCAAAAAGTATACAGATCTTAAGATTAATATAACTAAGGAGTGTGTAAAGTTTTAAGCAATAATCATAAATTGTTTTTGAGATACGGAGCGACATGTGAAAAAATACACACACCTTTTTTAGTTACTAAGTCCCGTAACTCAAAAAGTTTTAATCTTATTTTCACCAAAAAGTATACAGATCGTTTGACCATCATAAGAAACAACTATGTTAAGTTTCATGAAATTTGGATAAGTCATTCTCAAGTTACGGTGCGACATGTTTACGCCGGACAGACAGACGGACGGACAAAAATTGACGGGCGTATAAAAACTTAACAGATGCAATGATTATGTTTTGACCTTTGAAACTTATGTAACACATACTATAGTTTAAGGTGATTTTGTTTATAGAGCTGGTAAATTAAAAATGTATTCGTGTACACCTATTAATCTTTTGAATAAGTCAACTGTCAATTAAGTGATTGTCTCTTGTGCTGTATTTCATAATTTTTTTTTTTTAAAGTTTACTCTGCTATTGAGTCAAGGCTTCACTTTGAAGCTACACTGTGACCTATAATTGCTTAAATTTACTACTTTAAGTCTTGGATAGAAATATGTCTCAATGGTAATCATACCACATCTTCTTATGTTTATAGAATAAATTCACAATGTACCTTTTCCATAATCAATTGCAGTTTTCATGTCATCTGCATTTAAAATGTTATTTCCAGTTGCCTCAAAGGATCTCATCTTGGTTCTCATATGAGCAATTTTTGAGTCACAGTAGGACTTTCCAGCCTGAATATGAATATGAATATTGCTTTATTTGAATACCTGCAAAAAATCAAAAAAATAAACATGTACAAAGATTTGAGAGAGACTGCTTATAAATATCTTATTAATTCACTTTTATAATAAAGTTCAAATATCACCAAAGCTTATATTTTGAAGTATTTTATTTATTTTAATAGCTTTGAACTAGGTTGAAGTTTCTGTTTGTATTCTTAAATATTTTTTTGTGTCTTTTTTTCTTGTTCAGATAATTTTATGATCTTTTGAATAAGTCTACTGTCAAAGGCTTTTTTATATTTAGCACATATGATTGCAGCATATCAAGATATTGTTTTAAATTTGTACTGTGATGTAGTGCAACTTGACCTAATAGCATAACTTTTTTTGTTTTTTTATCATAACAGTTCTTTCTAAGATGCACTGTTTTTTCCATATAGAACTTGTAGGACTAAAATGATAATTGCAATATAAAATAAAATGCTCCGCTGGGCGCAGCTTAATACGACCGCAAAGGTCGAACCCTGAACAGTTGGGGCAAGTATGGACACAACATTCAAGCTTGATACAGCTCTGAATTTGGATTGTGATGAAATATTTGACACAGCATAGGTTTATGACACAGACAGAATGTGGTCTAAGAACTTAAAAATGTTAAATTGGACATTTACCTATTTTGTCCAATATCCAAAATCTAAATACATGGTTAGATTCAGCATATCAAAGAATCCCAAGAATTCAATTTTTGATGAAATCAAACAAAAGTTTAATTTTGGACACTTTTGACCGCAATGTGAACCAATTTGATAACGGGGCCCAAAAATCAAAAATCTAAATACATGGTTAGATTCAGCATATCAAAGATCCCCATGTATTCATTTTTTGTTGAAATCAAACAAAGTTTAATTTTGGACCCTGATTTGGGCCAACTTGAAAACTGGGTCCATTTTTTTAATTTACCTATTATGGTCCAATATACAAAATCAAAATACATGGTTAGATTCAGCATATCAAAGAACCCCATATATTCAATTTTTGTTGAAATCAAACAAAGTTTAATTTTGGACCCCAACTTGGACCAACTTGAAAACTGGGCCAATAATCAAAAACCTAAACACATGTTTAGAATCAGCATATCAAAGAACCCCAAAAATTCATTTTTTGTTAAAATCAAACAAAGTTTAATTTTGGACCCTTCGGACCTTAATGTAGACCAATTTAAAAAACGGGACCCAAATTTAAAAATCTAAATACATGGTTAGATTTGGCATATCAAAGAACCCCAATAATTCAATTTTTGATGAAATCAAACAAAGTTTAATTTTGGACCCTTTTGACCTCAATATGAACTAATTTGATAGCGGGGCCCACAAATAAAAAATCTAAATACATGGTTAGATTCAGCATATCAAAGAACCCCATATATTCAATTTTTGTTGAAATCAAACAAAGTTTAATTTTGGACCCCAATTGGGACCAACTTGAAAACTGGGCCAAAAAATCAAAAATCGAAATACATGTTAAGATTCAGCATATCAAAGAACCCCATATATTCAATTTTTGTTAAAATCAAACAAAGTTTAATTTTGGACCCTTTGGACCTTAATGTAGACCAATTTGAAAACTGGACCCAAAATTAAAAATCTAAATACACGGTTAGATTCAGCATATCAAAGAACCCCATAAATTCAATTTTTGTTTAAATCAAACAACGTTTAATTTTGGACCCCAATTTGGACCAACTTGAAAACTGGGCAAAAAATCAAAAATCGAAATACATGTTTAGAATCAGCATATCAAAGAACCCCATATATTCAATTTTTGTTAAAATCAAACAAAGTTTTATTTTGGACCCTTTGGACCTTAATGTAGACCAATTTGAAAACTGGACCCAAAATTAAAAATCTAAATAAGCGGTTAGATTCAGCATAAACATAATTTAAAAGCAGTGTAAGGGAAGTAACCAAAACGTTGGATTACCTCCCTTACACTGTTTTAAATTATCTTAATTGTTCATTAACCATTACTTTATACATAATTGAAAAGCAGTGCAAGGGAGGTAATTCAAATGATGTATTTGATTTATCTCCCTTACACTGCTTTAAATTATGTTTTGTACTAAAGTATTTGTCAATTAACCAGGACAACCTTGTTTTTCCCCCTTTTTTGCCCCTAATTCCTAAACCGTTTGAGCCATAACCCCCCAAAGCAAATCCTAACCATCCCTTTGTGGTATGGAAATTTGTGGTATAATTTCATAGAGATCCATACACCGTTCCACAGTTATTGTCTGGAAACTAGAAAATGCTTATTTTTGGCCCCTAATTCATTAACTGTTGGTACCATAACCCCCAAAATCAATCCCAACCTTCCTTTTGTGGTATTGAACCTTATGGTAAAATTTCAAAGAGATCCATTCACTTAAACTAAAGTTAGAGTGCGAAAACCAATGTGTCTTCGGAAGACGACCCCAACGCCATACCAATATACGACCGCAAAAATTTTTTGCGGTCGTATAAAAAAATAAAAATTCCACTTTACATTCAGTTAAGCTCTGTATTAGTTGGTGGGGAAATATGAAATTATATCTCTTACCTGTTCTATTGCTAATTTGAGGAATAGCAATCCATACTTGTCCGCAATGGTAGCAGCCTGCGTTATCAGAGCGAAGAAACATGTCTGTCACCTGAGGTAGTTGGATTTTAACTGTTTGCAGCACGTGTTCCAACAGTGATACCACTGCAAACCAATCTTGTTGAACATTCTCAAGAACATGAGTAAATGTCCTATGCTGAAATAAATTATTGTAATAATGTATTTATCTGATATCATTCTTACTATCCAAAACTTGTTTGTCCTTAAAATACTGTAAAAAATGAGTTCTTGTATTGTCCATTGTCTTTGAACACTTCATTGAAAACCTTAATTAATTGTTACATTTTATTAATATCCAATATTTGTTAACATACAATTACAGTGTTTGCCACCTTAAAATCAAGTTTTACATCGGACTTTTATAAGTTTGTGAGTGAATTGGTCCAGTTTATACAACAATAAATTCCTTTAAAAAGGCGTTTAATCCTACAGTATTTTCTTTTAATGAATATATTGTCCAAATTTACACTTCTGTTGAAATCATTAGTCATACTAAAAAGATATGTGTATCATATTGATTTCAGAATATAGTACAGTGAATCAGACAAATGCTTTTTATTGCTTTAAAGATAAATAATAATAATGAGGTTTTATTATCATAAAATTAGTTACCCCAATTTCACCACTTTCATCTCTTTAAATGCAGACACTGACATGCCAATGTTTTCCCCTTTGGCCAAACCAATCTGTCCAAAGTAGTGTTCATGGGTCATGTTTTGTCTGGTCGGGGTATTGGGCCAGCAGATGTCAAAGTCAAAGCTGTCGTTGAAGCACGTGAGCTAAGAACTTCAGCAGAAGTTCGTAGTATTAGGTCTTGTTAATTATAGTGCTAGATTTATTTCTGACTTGGCTACTATTTCAGCTCCGCTGCGTGCACTTACTCGTAAAGATGCCACGTTCACATGGGGTAAAGATGAACAAAGGTCGTTCGATGAGCTAAAACGTCGTCTTGCCCATGCGGAAACTTTAGGTTATTATGACAAGTCGGTACTGACTACAGATGCTAGTCCAGTTGGACTCGGAGCCGTGCTCATACAAGAACAAAACGGTGAGTTGCGCATTATTTCTTACGCGAGTAGGAGTTTAAGCGATACGGAACGCAGATATTCGCAGACCGAAAAGGAGACTCTAGCCTTGGTATGGGCGTGTGCAAGGATTCATGTTTATATTTATGGAAGCCAGTTCGAGCTCTTAACGGACCATAAACCGCTTGAGGGTATTTACTCTACGAAGTCGAAAGTATGTGCTCGAATTGAGCGCTGGGTTCTCCGTATGCAACCATATACATATACTGTACGGTATATTCCAGGACCGAAAAATATAGCCGACTCGCTTTCACGTTTGATCAAAGAAGGAAAAACAAGTGACAATCGGGGAAAATGTAACTGAGGAATACGTTAAATGTGTAGCTCAAGAATCAACACCGGTTGCGATGACAACACGCGAAATCGAAAGAGCTTCCGAAAACGACCCTGAATTAAAGGCTGTCCGAGAATGTCTTGTTCACAGTTAGTGGCACCGTATCGAGTTCAAAGAATATCTACCGATTCGAAGTGAACTATGCTCTATTAGTCAATTAGTACTTCGGGGTACTCGTATCGTGATACCTATTAGTTTACGGGAACAGGTACTTCAGCTTGCTCATGAAGGTCACCCTGGCATTGTTGTCATGAAAACGCGTTTACGAAGTAAGGTCTGGTGGCCAGTGATAGACAAAAGTATTGAGAAGTTTTGTCGAAGCTGTTACGGTTGTCAATTGGTAAGTCAGCCTAGTAAACCCGAACCGTTAAAGCGTACATATATATGGCAACAGTTAGCTGCTGATCTGTTAGGACCGTTACGGAGCAATCAATATACGTTTGTATTAGTTGATTATTATAGCCGCTATTTTGAAGTCGCTGTTACTAAGAATATTTCGTCCGAAAATATTACGTCGTTGATTTCAAATTTTTGCTTGACTCATTGATTGCCGTTATCAATTCACACCGACAATGGACCCCAGTTTGTTAGTCAAAATTTTAAGAACTTTATGTCCGAACATGGTATAGTCCATCATAGAACAACTCCGTTATGGCCACAGGCTAATGGCGAAGTAGAGCGCCAAAATCGTTCGATAATGAAGCGTGTCAAAATTGCGCAAGGTGAAGGTCGCGACTGGAAATTCGAACTGAGTAAATTTCTAATCATGTACCGTAGTACTGCTCATTCTTCAACAGGAGTAAGTCCGTCCGAATTACTTTTTGGTCGAAAAATCAGAACAAAGTTACCTGATTTGATTCATTATAATGTTAATGATTTTGAAGTACGTGACCGAGACGCCGAACAAAAGGAAAAGGGAAAAATATATGCCGAGAAGCGTCGTGGTGCTTGCGAGAGTGATATTCGTGTCGACGATCAAGTTCTAGTCAGGCAAGACCGTGGAAATAAAATGTCTACACCTTTTGTTCCATCCCCTTTAAAAGTGGTTAAGAAAATTGGTAATAGTGTATTGGTTGAATCTGATCAAGGTGTTCAATACAGGAGAAATGTGACACATTTAAAGAAATTTATAGAGAGAGAAAATAATGATTTATCTTGCTCACAATCTGATGCAAACAAAAATGTAGTTAATACAGAGTCTTAAATTATTTCTAGTCACAAAGATGATTATGAGAATTTAACTGAATCTAGCAATTTTGATGAAAATAAGTGTTTAAGTTCTCGTCAAGATGAAACTTGTAGTATGAAAGATAGACCAGTCAGATTGAAAAGATTACCGTCAAAGTTTGACGAATTTGTCTTGAAATAATGTGTACCATTATGAACAATTATAAGTTACATGATTTTTGTTATAAAGGTATTAATAACAAATGTTTTTGTTGTTGACATATTATTGACAATGTTGTTTATTTCAATTTTTATCTTTAAACAAAATTGACATAGGGTAGTTCAATTTTTATTTGAAGTTTTTATTTGTAAAAAAAAAAAATGTCAAGATGTTTTCAAATCTAAAAAGAAGGAAGAGATGTAGTGTTTGCTATGTATGCTTTAGTATATCAGTATAGAAAGAGAGATAACTCTGTTATCTGCTGGAACAATGTATGTGAACTGCTTGTCTCCCTTTGTACTGTGTTATATACAATATGCAGAGTTTCCGGTTATGTAATAAATGATGTACCTTCAATGGTGTTTGTTTGTATGCCATTATCAGGGCTATCAGGTTTAATCCGAATGTTCAATGCCACAAACAGTACATAAATGTCCAGCAGGAAGTATTTCAAGATACCCAGTCTAATTTTGTTGAAGTACTGAAAAAATTTAAAACATGATAAAATAATATTTTTATTATACAAATATTTGGGCTTAAGGGCAACACGTTATGTTACAGAAAACTCCTTGGCGTCATTGAATAAAAAGAGATGAATGTGAACTAACTGACGCCAACATTATACTTAACTATCCGAGCAGTATGCGCTGCACACTGTGTGAATGCTTGAGGATATTTTTCTCGAGTATCATGTAATTCACTCAGTTCTGTCATATTGTAAATCAAGAACAAAACAAATTACATACTACCTGCAGTTGACACAAAACACACAGTATGTACATAAAATGATAGTGTGTTCTCAGATAATTAAGGATAATTTGCCGCTAAAATACTGTGCCTGAGCTAGCCACATATCTTTGACAGAAATGCGTCACCATAGGGGTATTTGCATACACGTGTGTGTACGACAACCAGTCTACTTGTCTCAGAGTACTTTAGAAGGCCATTCCCGAGCGGTATAGCCTTACTTGATTTTCCACGTGGTACCGCATAAGAGTAAATCTTTGTGGGCATAGACCGGCGTGAAATAGAGCTGTTGAGCAATCAATATGAGACTATTCCTCGTTAAGGTACGTAGGCACCCTAACTACTCAGAAAATTTTGGGGAAACGATATTATATTTGGCCAAAATAAAATATCATAGCCCAAAACGAAATATGTAACGTTATGTTGCCTGCCCAAGTTGCATATTGAGTAACCCAAAAATTGAAGATGTTGTGCCTGATGAAGCCTTGTGTCTTGTTAAAATTAAAGTTGATGTAGAGAAAAATTTAATGTCAATATAAAAAACCTTAACCACAATAATGAGATCAACGTGAAAAGAAAAGACACAAGGCTAGGATGGAGGACAAGTTACAAAGTTATAACCGATTGTAAAAAACGTTTTTCTGCATTGTATCTTTGTTATTTAATCTTTTCCAGCGCGGATTTAATATCCAATTTAGAAGTTCTAATGTAGCGTTTAAAACAATCTGATTTCCAACGTCCCAGTGTTTGTATCATGCTGTCCTCAATACCTTGAGAACTAGCACTTGTGGCCGCACCTGATCGAAAAGAATGTCCGCTATAATCCTTGTCACTATATCCTAATGCTATGAGTATTGTTTTCAGCTTGCTTATAAAATAGTTCCGGGAAAGTGGTTTTCCGGTTTCTTCAACGAAAAACGAATCATTGTGCTTTGCGTTTAGATTTAGTCTTGCACTCATCAGCTGGAATAGCAATTTATACGGACAAACGACGCCATCTCTCTTGAACAAGGAAATTATAATACCTTGTCGGAATATATCTGTCTTTGTAGCTTTTAAATTTACAATTACTTCGCATGCTGAAACGAAATTTATGTCAGAAACGCATAAATTTGAATCTGGATCAAAAACCGTTCTACATGTAAACTCATTGCATCTCAGAAAAACATAAAATGCCAGAACACACGCTGTTTGAAATGTTAAATCCATATAATCATGATTGAAAAATCCACATTGCAAACAAGTCACTATTTCCTGTAAAATTTTAAACGTTATTGGTAACTTTTGTCGGAATGGCTTACTTTCAGATTTTTAACTCCATTTAACACATTTTGCAAGCGTTGGTATGTATGACCAAATTTATCGCAAAGGGGGTTCAAATTTTCAAAATTAACTCCATGAAAACGAACTCCAGCGAGATATA